TAATAAAATAGATTAAATAGCCTACTGGAGAGATGCACAGACGCAGGTAGGCTAATTCACACAGGCAACTGTCACCTCTCTCTCTCTCTCTCTCTCTCTCTCTCTCTCTCTCTCTCTCGAATAATGAATTCAAGTAGCTAAATGTTATAATTAATTAAATCAAATAAATGTGATCTTACCACACTATTTAATCTCTTTCTGATCTGAAGTGGGCAGAATGCTGAGCTAACGAGCTGTAGCTTCGTGTCAGGTGGTTCTTGCCTTCAAGTCGTGCATTAAAATCGTTCAATGTACAGAAAGCCGTGCATTATCCCTTATGTATTCGCTCTTTAGCAGCAGTTTTTTACAGCAATATTTAAATGACACCCTGGTCATTCTTGGTGTACCCAAAATGGTCCCACACTATCGACAAGCATTTCTCTGGTGGAAATAAAGCTTCGCTGTTTGGTCCCTCTGTCACAGTTAATCTAATGCATGTAGTAGCCTCCGTGCCTCTGATAAGCACGTCATTTTAAGCTGGTGCACCGCTAAGTGTAACTTTTTTTCGTTTTGCGCTAGCTGCAACAGTTCCGTTCCGTGTAACAGAAACACTCGGTTTAGCGGAACCTTTACGATTAATTAACCGTGACGTTTTAAAGCGGTTAATCGCTGCATCCCTAATTACAGTACATAAAATTTCACCACATAAACAGAGTAAGGAGAGATGACTGATAGGATGATGGATGATTTGCAGATCCTGAGTACCTCTGACAAATATCTAATCTTGTAAAATGTGTGGTAAGTATTGCCGCTCTGTAATATACACGGAGTACGTGTGATCACGAATCTCGAATCTCCCCGCATATTAATAACAGCTCCCTCATGCCTGCAATTTATATACAATATAATTACCCAACTATATAATTGTGAGAGAAAGCATTGAAATATATTTTTTCCTTCCATTTATGGGTTCCGTAGTACATGTCATTTCCTTTCCAAACACGGTATTCAGATTCGGGAACATTCATTATTATCATTATATTAACTAGAAAATCGATTTTTGACATTTGTGAATCATTGCGAATCGCTAGAAGACTGAATCGCGATTCATTTGTGAATCAAATTTTTCCCCCTCCCCTAATAAAAAGGGACAATTTTAGTAGACTATTGAATTTTGAAATAGTTAAAGGTACAATATGTACGTTTTCACCGCCAGAGGGCGCGTATTCAAAACAAACAAAGAAACAAAGGCGTAGTTTGATGACGCCGTGACTGAGTGTGAAATCATGGGAGTTGTCATCTTCATCCCCACAGCCGACGCAATCCAACGGGACTCAGGCAGAAATCATGTTTATGGATGAGCTAATGTATTAAAGATTTATTAACATCGTAGTATGAAGCAGAGTGAGGTGGAAAGCGGTCGAAGTGAAACGAGGCCGCTGAAGCAATTGCTAATGAGAGACGAGAGTGACACATGGCTCGAAAGCAGCGGAGCTTTTATTATGCCACACTTTAGCGCTTCCGCTACTTCCGGTCGAGTCAGCAAAATATATAACACTGTTCTAGTGGTTTTTGGATATTTTTTACATATTGCACCTTTAAAGGATTACTGTTAACACAAACAGAAAAAAGAGACATGACTGAAAGCATGTCATAGATATTGATTGAGAGCTGAAGTATGTAATTTCTGCACCACTGTGCAGCAGAACTGTAAAAACAAACACTGCTTTCAAAACAGCTTTCTGAATATGCCACCAGTCAGTCATTGATTGAAGAAAAAAAAAAAACAGGCCCACCCTCAGCTCACCTATGAATGGTTTACTTATAGTTCTCCCTGCACACCAAACTGGGATAGGAGAAAGCATCTAAACACCAAAAAAGTCACATACTTAAAGTTGTTTCAACCTTTTAATATTCTTTTAAAATAAAGTGTTTGATGTAAGTAACATGTCTTTTGCAAGATAACCATTATTTTATTAAGTGAGCCGTGACACAAACACGCCAAATGGGAGAGAACTGTTCAATAGATCCACTGTTTGTGTGTGTGTATTTGCATACTCACATCTGTGTCTGGCCCTTTATCAGCTCCAGGGCATGAGAATGTGACAAATTCATGGCAACGTTTATGGACCACAAAACAGCACACTGACAGAGAGAAAAAGAGAGAGATGTGTTACATTTACAAAATCCCACATAACTGTAAAATACTGGTAGATAAAAAATATATGAGAAAACAGTTCAAACCAAGTGTCCTAAAAATTGTTAACAAACTCTGTTACTCTTCCTGCTCTGTGTGTATATGTGTATTCTATACTGCAGCAGAGCTGAGGAAGATAATGCTAATAAATCAGTAATTTAATAATGTACAAGTGTAAATTAGTGGACTACACTAACACAAAAAAACATACTCAGTGTGAAATCAACACCAGTATCATATTTCAAAGAGAGAAATTATTACATTATATATAACACAATATAGCACAAAAACTGGGGTATGCAGTATATGCGGTGCATAGGGGTGCCGCACTTAGGGGGACGCCATTTTGACGAAATTATTCTGCCGAAAAACGTTTTCAATAAAACGTTATAAATAATCAAGAGCTTAGTTGTTAAAGTTAATGTAATTAAACATTTTTATTTAAATGTTTTTTTTAGCATTTTTAATTAGTTAAAAAATGTTTTTATTATAAACTGAGTATATATCAACCGCTCACCATTCGACACATTGTCACAGATGTGGTCACATGACCAAAATGAAAGGAGGGAAACGTTCTGGGGCGCAGGACAGAAAAGACAAGGGAAATCAAAAACAATGCATTAAAATGAGGACAACAATGTCCAAGTGAACTAACAGAAATTGTTAAGCTTACCCTATTATTTTTTTCATTGTAAGTCATGAAGTCATTCAACATTTAACGTTGTTGTCTAAGAGGACAAAGTGATTAACGTTAATATCAGTTCATTTCTGAGTAGCTCTATTGCTCAAAACAAATAAATAAAAAAAGTCACGACATGTTTGTGAATGGGCGTTTGATTTACATTTAAGAGGAACTGAGAAGATTGTTAAGGATAAAAATTATCCACCTTTCGCAAAAAATTGCCGTTTTGAATTCAAAATAGGTAATTTGTGTGCAAAGACTTTTTTGTGTGTGATTCAATTAGATACGAGTTTTTTGAAAATTCTTGTTACTTCATACTTCAGTACAAAACAATGCTGAACTTTGAAAAAAATGATGTTTTAAATCTTATAATAGTGATTTTATAATTTCTAAATATGAATTCAAACATAAAACGTGAAAAGAGCTATATTATATATATATATTGTAAATCCCTCCAAAATTACCTAATTTTAAAATTACCATACTTTTTTTTTCTTTTTTCACTCTTCACCTTTTTCCCCTATGGTATTGAAAATGGGGGAGGGGTTTAAACCTTTGTCCCTTTTTTCACCCCGATGAGACTGTATCTTTCCATGCACAAGCTAGTTCTTTTGATTTGACATTGATTTGCTGAAAGTTTTCTGCGGGAGTTAGTGTTAGGGGCTAGAATGCAGGGGGGCGCCAACACTGAACTTGCAGTTGCGCCCCTGTCTCTGGAAGGTTCTATTATATCCATTGTACAGAGAAAGACATCACAGACATACCATTGGACATACATGAATGAAAAAAAAAAAAATCTTATATTTATTTATTAAGTTTTTAGAAATGTATTTTTTGTATTCATGTTTGTTTCTCATGTTGGCAATATGACTAAAATCTTACATCAGGATACGAGTCATTTACTGTATTTAATGATAATGTTATTACAATATAATTATTTTTCTGGAATAAAGGGTAGATATGAGACCAATTTGTTAAATTTTCACAGCAAAAACAAACAGCCTAACTGATTTAAATACTAGGTAGCAGGAAGTTCTCAAGCTTACTGAAGACAAGTAGACAGTCTTAATTACTACACTGTAAATGATTTCTGTTGTTTACACAGTATTATACTGTTTATCTCAACGGTTTCTTGCTGTATAAGCTTTGTACAGTGTGCTACTGTAGATTTTGTTGTTTTCACAGTATTATATTGTATTCTCAACAGTTGAGTACTGTGTACACGGTTGACAGTATGTTACTGTAGATTTTCAATGCATTCTGGGAAATTATCAGTTACTGTAAATCTAAATACAGCAGTGCAAATTGACCTGAAAAACACCACACAGAATTTTGCAGGTAAAATTGCTATTCCTATGATTACCAGAAATCTTCAAAATATCTTATATGTTCAAGAAAGCAATTCATACAGGTTTGGAACGACTTGAGGGTGCATAAATGATGACAGAATTCATGGATGAGAGCAGGGAGAGCAGCAATAACCCTCAAAACAAAACCATATGCTGATATCCCCCAACACAAAGTGATAGCAAAATCTCAAAGCCTTATGCAACAAGCATGTTGCCCTTAACCAATGACCAATCAAATATGTTGCTAACTAAAGCCCTCATTATTTCAATCTCCTCACATTCTTTCTTACCTGCCTCAGTCACAGTCACACTGATGGGCCATTAGGGGAGGGCCCTTTGTCTCTCAGGTGTGAATCACTAATATTCATGGCCATTGTCACTCCCTCTCATACGCCTTTCTAACACAAAAATGTCTTACAAAAGTTAATCAATATATAGTTTTTTTGTGAATGATTGAGCAGGATGATTTTCACATCATTTTATAGTAAAAACTCTAGTCTATCACATCCAGTTCTCAAAAGTCTTGTGAACAAATGTTATGTATGAGTTTTATGGCCTTATTTTAATGACTTAAAAATTTTCATTTTTTACTAACCATGCATAAATGTTTTCTCAAAAACACAAACATGTAGGCTATATTCATGCTGCTCGTGTATTATTGTAGCACAGTTTGTGCTGATTACAGTGTAATCAGACTTTAGTCATTAATGTGTATTTAAGATACTGAAAAAAGCACAAATGTCAGGGCATGTCAAAACTTTTCCAGGCCCCAAAACACCCTCGGACCCCAGAGGGTTAAAGGGGACATAACACACACAGTTTTGGCCAATCTCATGTTAATCTTGAGTACCTATAGTGTAGTATTGCATCATTCACATCTCCAAAGAGTCTTCAGTTTTATCAGATTTATAAAAGAAAGATACAGCTTTGCGATTCTCTCTGGAAACAGCCAAGCTCCTGGAGGCGAGCCGTGGGCAAAGCTGAAGAGTCGCGAGCACTTACGGGCCGATTGGCAACTAAACATAGACATTGATGCAGTTTTACAGCAATTCCTAGTCATGACCGGGATCTATTATCGCTGGGACTGCTCCGTCTTTCAGTATCAAACGATGTGCAAATCCAGTGTCAGAATGTATCTTGTTATAAAACTTTCGTCACCGAAATGACGGGAACAAACAAACACGCTTGAGAAACTCCGTTGCTGCCTTGGAAAAACAAATTGCATCCACTGTTCACATAACACTGAATAAGGTTATCTTTTCCTCACATCCAAA